AACATTAATGGCTCCAAAACAAAACTGCTATCATTTAATCGTCATAGAGAAACTTTTCAGCCTGCCATCAACATGGCTAATGCCAACCTCCAGGACAGCAATTCTTTACGCCTTCTTGAATTCACGTTTTCAACTGACATGAAATGGGGTGATTATATTTAATAAATTGCTAGGTTTACTGCTGGGAGATTTGGTTCACTGTGTCGAACCAGAATTTTTTTCTCGACAGAATCCATCTTGCACATTTATAAATCTAGTATTCATCCATGCATTGAATGCTTCTGCCATATTTGGTCTAGTGCTCCCACTATATATCTCGAGATCCTTGACAAAATGCAAAGAAGAGTCTGCCATGTTATCAATCTTGATCTGGCATCTCGACTTTAGTCAATTTCCCACCGCCGTAACGTGGCTTCCCCCTGTCTTTTCTTTAAATTTTTTCATGACAGTTGTTATGATGGACTTTCCTCTTCGGTGCCTAAACTGCATGAATTTAATCGTGCTACTAGATTGGCAGTTAGGTCTCACTGCTTTACTGTTGAACTAGCTAGTTGCAACATTATGTTCAATTCTAATACTTTTCTCTCCTGCGAAAGTTGCGTCCTGGGTATGACGATAAACTACATCCACGTCCTTGGTAAGACGATAAACTACCTTCAGCAGCAAGGCCTCTGATCAGGAGGTTTTGAGGAGCGTGGAACCACCTCCTAATTGATGGTGTTCCCAGGTCAATCCTGACGCGGGGTGGTAGCATCTGTTAGGGTCCAAGGTGTGGGCAAATTGTTAACCCCGAAACTGGAGTCAAAACACTATGAAAGTGTAAAAATAAGTTTTAAAACCAGAAATACTTTGTAAAAAAATTATTATCGGCAATAAATTTTTGAAGAAAAACACTATTAACAGCAATACATTTTTGAAAAAAAAATATTACCAACAATACACTTTGAAAAAAATAATATTATCAACAATACACTTAAAAAAAAATATTACCAACAATAGACTTTGAAAAAAAAATATTACCAACAATATGTTTTTGAAAAAAGAAAAAAATTTACCAGCAATACTTTTTTTGAAAAAAATATACTAGCAGCTATACATTTTTGAAGGAAAAATTATTACCAGAAATAGATTTTTGACAAAACAAAATATTACCAGCAGTAAAAATTTTGTCGGCATTAAATAACCCATTGAGGTTGATATACCGTAAAACAAAACAAACCAAACCAAACTCCTACGAAACTATTTCAATTTTTTGCTGTCTTGCCATCTACTATCTTCAAAAATTTAAATGCGAAGCCAATCGCCATTTTCCGTCTTCCTAAAACCTTTTCTTTTGTTATCCTCTCACCTTTTCTTTCACTTCTAGTAACCCACTGATTCTTAGTGACATTATCGCCTTGCTTGGAGCCAAATTATTACAAATGGTGATAGTCCTGGAGATCAGGACTCTTCTTTCTTCCACTTCACCTACATACGCCAGGAATAGCTGGCTGAGAATTTTCAAAGAGCTTATCACTCATAAAATGTATACGCCTAATGTCCGGATTTGAATAACCCGGATGTTTGGCGCTTCGTTGAGAGGAAAACTAAACAGAGTCCCGCAATGCCAAAGAATAGCTGAAAATGCCACTGTGAACAAAAAACATTTGATTCATTGGAATCCTGCAACGACTTTACTTGTGACTTTCACTTTTTTTTTCTATATAGAATATCTTTAGAATAATGAATGAACAGGCATTAAACGCAATACACCCCAGACACCAAGGAAGACAAGTGCCATTGGGGGATGGCTTAAGATCAGTCCCAGCCACCGAGTGGGGCAGAATATGACGTCATACCTGGATCCGGTTTGCTGGCATTCTATTATATTTTTGCATGCCCACCTTCGTTACTTGGCAGCCACCCTTACGCCCTGTCACTATCTAGTGGATAATGGATTATTTACATTGTTCGGACTGTTGTCCACATCTTTATTATGTTCAGGAAGTTTCGGTCGCTGAACGCTCCGGCCTTCTTCAGGTGTTTGGAATTTGGAACTGAACCCCTTATTTCGTCCACCTAGATAGATTGTTCTAGATCCATATGCCATGCCTCTTCCGGATGTCATATTAAAATAATATTGAAAATAGTGAAAATTAAGTAATATTTTCATATAATATATATATATATATATATACAGAGAGAGAGAGAGAGAGAGAGAGAGAGAGATAGATAGATAGATAGATAGATAGATAGATAGATAGATAGATAGATAGACATATAAATATTAAAGATTTAAGAAACGGCAGATATCTTTATATATAGTGCTCAGTATTAAAAATATTAAAATAATATCAAAAGTAGTTAAAAGTTAAATAATATATATATATGTGTGTGTGTGTGTGTGTGTGAAAATATATAGAAAATAGGAAGGAACTGGTTAGGTAAATAATCCAAAGTCCCTTAGTATTTTAGTTATTTTTTTAAAAAAAATAGTGCTCGATACAAAAGTAGAGCATAAATATAATTATTTATTTAAAAATATGATTCCAAATCGCTACATAAGAGGTCTCATGTTTCAAAACAAGAGCCGAAAACTTCAATATAATCCTTTAAATTAAATTGAGTTTAAATTAAAATGGGCTCCGTTCCATTTTCAAGCGAAATTTTTGTTCCCCGACTTGACACCTTGAAAGTATCTCTATACCGCTACTTATTATTCACACCCTACACTCGCCTACCCAATTTAAACAATTCGCCCTTGCTGTTACCATGGAGATTTTGATTTCAATTTTTAAAACAAGTAAATTTCAAATATACGTTATTCCAACAAAAATTTCGCTTGAAGATGGAACGGAGCCCATTTTAATTTAAACTCAATTTAATTTAAAGGATTATATTGAAGTTTTCGGCTCTTGTTTTGAAACATGAGACCTCTTATGTAGCGATTTGGAATCATATTTTTAAATAAATAATTATATATATATATATATATATATATATAAAATATTCGTCCTCTGACTACGAAAATTTCTCGGACATTCAGGCCGGTAAATGTTGTTTAATATTGATTATTATAAACAGAGCATTTACTTAAATATTTGTATCTATAAAAAAGAATGTATGAACATAAAATGTCTTAAAATAATTGTCGGACTATATATATATATATATATATATATATATATGTGTGTGTGTGTGTGTGTGTGTGTGTGTGTGTGTAAAGAGAGAGAGGGGGCAAGGGAGGCACGGTGGGGTAATGGAGAGCGGCTCAGATTGAGGAATCGGAGGCCGAGTTCAAATCCTTTACATTTACTTAGGTGCTAATAACCTTGGGAAAGGTATGACTCTTCTCCTCCCCTCCCCCCACCAGCTATGTGTATATAGCAAGACAGACTGGGTTGTATCGCCTTAGATGGAACTGGTCCAGGAGAAGTATAACTTTGAATTCAAAACCTGCGGATGGTTGTTTGGGGTAATGCACCAAGTCTCTGTATTCGGTCCTTCAAAAAATGTGGTTGGTTCTGCACAAAGCCTTCACCACTATAATCAAATCATATGTGCTGGTTCCTGGGCTGTCGCTTCTGAGAAACTGAGCTGCTTGACCCTCATACGTCGAATACGACGAGTCCACCACATATATTTATATTGGTCACACCACAAACTCGCTTTCACGACTCTTGACACGACATTTGAATGATAACTCAAACATTTTTTAGGCATTTAAAACAACATGCCCGGCCGCTTACACAATTCCGGAAAATCCTCGTTGAAAACATAACTATGCTTAAACATGAAAACAATAAACAAAAACTAAAAATTTTTGAAGCTATATACATAAAGCAGTTGAAACCTAACCTGAACAAAATAAACTATGAAATCTCCACAAATATTCTTAAATAATTTATAACAGAAGCCATTGGTTTATGCAAACGGTTTCCCATACTTAATACTTCTCGTTTTCACTCTCGCGTGGTCATGTGTGACGTCATCAGCTGCGATGCGATTTTCACTTCCAGCGTCTCGTATGCACGAGTTTGTCGTTGCTTGGAAATCTTCTATGTAAACAAAAACCGACTATCATTATTGTTTTGTCTGTGTATTGTTTAATATATTGTAATGTAATTGTCATTGATAATGGCTTATGTAAGCCGAAAGCTTAGATAGGATTATTGTGATTTTCATTCTTCTTTTAATGATAATGTTATTAAGCTTATCAGAAGATATGAAAAGAATTTGCATAAAATAAAAAGACAAAACTTGTCTATATTATTTAATGAAACAAGCATCAATATATATATATATATATATATATATATATATGTGTGTGTGTGTGTGTGTGTGTGTGTGTGTGTGTGTGTGTGTGTGTGTGTGTGTGTGTGTATATGAATTGGGATCAAATACCAAACCAATATGGATGGAAAGCTAAACAATGTATTAAGATAGAGAAAACTTTCATTAGAAACAAAGACAAGGGTGCTAAACTGCTATTTATTATCATCTTTCTTACTTGGCTGTGAACGCTGAAAAATTTCTTCACAGATGCAGAGGAAATTTTAATCAACAGAGATGTGATTCTACAGAAGGATGCTGAGAATGGCATGAATGGAGGGTGTAAGTAATGAGGAGAATTTAAATAAAATTTAAGCGAAAGTAAAACTTACATATCGAATCAGAAAGCAGTAAAAATTCCTGGGCCTTATAATGAGGAAAGACCGCCTGCATAATTTGGCGCTCGCAAGAGATATTGATGACAAGCAGCTCAGGTAGGAAGAACAAGTAGCCTACCTCACAAACTTGTGTAAATGCGTGGCAGAGAAGCGAGTTGAAATCATAGTAAAAAAATAAACATTGCTTTGAGCTACAAAGGACAAGAAGTTGTGAAGAGCCATGATTGCCCACGATACCTAAAAAGAAAAAAACTAATCCTTAATTTAACTCTAGACTAAATGAACTAAAAAAAACAACTCCCTTTCAAGTTTTTAAAGTTGAACTGTAAAACTTGTAGGCTTCATTTCACGATGCTGACCACTGAGCCATCAGCTGGTAATTCTGTAATTATACCTGTTTATCTAACGACGCAGTTCGCCATGGACGCTCAAGGTCATCGACCTTTTGTCTTTCATACTATTCACTCTTCCAAGTTGTACACCCAATATTAGCCAACCAGGATAGCAGCAGGGTAGTGTGTGAATGTGGGAAAGTTAGGGGAGGTGAAAGGATTGGGTGTCCTTTCAAAGTAAGTAGTTGTATTTGGGTTGGCACTGAAACAAGGCGATATTCATAACGTTGTTGCTAGATAGATAAAAAGTCAAACGTATTAGGGCGACTCCTCCTGACCGCTCTTCCTGGCTTTGACGTAACTGACCGACAATGAAGATCAATTGACTTACATGAAAAATTAAAACTTCTTCTTCTTCTTCTTCTTCTTCTTCTTCTTCTTCTTCTTCTTCTTTCCTCCTATTTTTCTTCTTCTTTTTCTTCTTCTTCTTCTTTTCCATCCCATTTTTCTTCTTCTTCCTCTTCTTTTTCTTCGAATTTTCCTCCTCTTCGAATTTTCCTCTACTTCTTCATTTCCTCCTCCTTCTTCTTATTTTCCTTTTCTTCTTCTTCGAATTTTTTCTTCTTTTTCTTCTTTTTTCTTCTTCTTCCTCCTTATTTTCTTCTTCCTCTTTTCTTCTTCTTCTTCTTCTTCTTCTTCTTCTTCTTTCCCTCATATTTTTCTTCTTCTTTTTCTTCTTCTTTTCCATCCCATTTTTCTTCTTGTTCCTCTTCTTTTTCTTCGAATTTTCCTCCTCTTCTTCTTTTCCTCTGCTTTTTCATTTCCTCCTCCTTCTTCTTCTTCGAATTTTTTCTTCTTTTTTCTTCTTCCTCCTCCTCCTCCTCCTCCTTCTTCTTCTTCTTCTTCTTCTTCTTCTACTTCAGTCCAACAGTTAGCACTTATTTTTCTCTCGGCTTACAGCCGCATCACGTTGAAACACCGGTTTCCATACAATCACTGAAGTTAAGCAACGTCGAGCATGGTCAGCACCTAGATGGGTGACCGCTTGGAAATACTATGTGCTGTAAGCTTGGATGTGTGGGTGAATAATGGCTCGGCTTTTTTAATCGTTCCAATTCCAGTTAGGTTTGTTATATTCGCTTTCGCACAAGGAATAAATCCACCTCTTAGCCCCTTATCTATGGAATAATAATTCTTCTTTTTATGTGCCATGTCATTTCAGGACGTAGGCGATCATGGCTTTCCACCTCCCTCCATCCTTTGCAACTGTCAACAAGTTCTTTTCCTCGGCTACATCCCCCTGTCATTAGCAACACTAAATCATTATCATTTCCTCCCCAAAAGTAATTATTACAATAAAAAGAACAAAAAGAAATACAAAAGAAGAAGACGAAGTGGGGAAAAAGAAGTAGAGGAAAAAATATTTCTGGCTTTAAATAACCCGCAAACGGTTGATAAACCGTAAAAATCAAAATTCTTCTTCTTCTACTTCTTCGTCGTCGTCGTCGTCGTCTTCTTCTTCTTCTTCTTCTTTTTTATCCCTCATCCTCCTCCCCCCTTCTCCCCTTCCTCCTCCACCTCCCTTTTCTCCTTTCGTTAATAAATAAATCATAAAAAGTATACTCTTGTTTTTGGTCGTCATAATTCAAGTGAGCCGGAAAGTTTAACTAAAGGTTCAAGTGTGCCGTGAGATTAAAAAAAAAATGGTTGAAAAACATTCGCCTACATTATTCATTCAAGATTTTCGCGCTACTGAGTTGTTTTTTTTTTTTTTTTGCTTTTTTTTAAATTATTCTTCAGTATATTTATTTTAAACACATTTAATTGCATTTTCATCCAAAGAAAAACTTCTTTCTTTTTTTTAAATGTTAAAACCGTTCTTTTTATTTATTTCCATTTTTTTTTCTGGTTCCACTCTTTTGCCAGAGATTTTTAATCTTACATGAACATATCTCCAATATCAGTAAATAGGCGTCTTGAGTTTCACTTAATTTCCTCTCCTTTTTTTTTATCACCCAATCCGTTATTTAATTCATGCAATCAGCGGAACATATAAATAGGTGGACGCCCCGCTTTTACAAAACAACAAGCATAAAAATAACTTTACAATCTGTGCATTTCCAGTTTTCCCTGTTACTATGTGACCGTTAGCGAATCGGAAAGAGAAATTGGTGACTCGAATTCCGGACGTGTTTTGTCCTGGGCCAGTATTGTAACCTAGAGAAGGTTATTGAATAGAATACAAAGGTTGGAAATTAACGATAATAATTAAGATACGAACAACACATATAAGATTCGCCAGCGGCGTGTAGAAAAAGTAGTCAATTGCAGGAATTGAATTCAAGTGAATTCCACAATTAATCTCCAACTGCAGAATATCTACCAATCGCCCTAGGTGGTCAGATGTGGCACAAGGCCGGATTTAATGTGGGGCATCCGATCACGTAGGCTCGGCCAAAAATTCCCGTAGATCCCGTAAAAAAACGGTGTCGTGTAGCAGTTTTCCGAGACGAGACTCTGCCCTTCGACATATCCAGTTTATGTTAGTCGCTTTGATGTCTGGTTTCCACATGAAATCAAAGCAGAATCAATTAGACAGCATTTCCATTGATGATTCCCTACTAAGACGCAACTGAAATGTCAAGTTATTAAAAGTAACTGTATCGAACAATAAAGACTGGATATTTTATCACTATAAAACGCCTGAGTTCGCGTGGCAGCCGACAGGAAGCTATTAAGAATCTCACAGAATGCCGGTAGTCTTCCAAAGATAATGATGCTACTTAAGTGTCCGAAATGAAATCAGAGCTTCTTTCGGAGAACCAAACGGATTATTAAAACACAACTTACTCCCAACCAAAACGACTGAATGCTGCAATTGATAAAAAGGCGCTTAAATTATCTTTTTTTTACACTATTGTTCACCCAATACAAGGCTCAAGTGCCACTCAAGGCGGGGGGATTATTTTATTTTTATTTTTTTAAGCGTTTCACCCCAAGCAAGGCGGGAAGCCACTAGGATGCAAGGGATTACAGGAAACAGCAAGATCAGATAGTAGTGATAGAAGAAAGGATGAGGGTAGTGGATAGATCAAAGCAACTGGAGATGTCGATTGACATTACACTTGAATAGCTGGAGATTATAGCTCTCAGGGAAACAAGAGAAGGGAAGGGAGTTCCACAGGCGAGAGGTGCGAGACATGAAGCTATTAGAGTAGAAGAGACGGCTACATTTAGGAGTTTCGACAGTGAGGGGGGTGAGAGCGGGGTGCCAGCCTCGTAGGGCGCTGAAGGGAAGATGCAAGAAGTGAATATTTGAGGATATGTAAGATAGATAACGATTGGCCCTAGATTTAAACAGCTTAAGATGGCTGTTATCCGGGAAATGTTAGATTAATCTCTGAACAATTTTATCTTGGAAATGATTAAAAATATTTATTGGAATTCTCCGAGGTTTTATCGAACTCTGCTTTGAGCAATAAGAACGTATAATTTACTCTCCAAGCTTAACAGAAGAATCGTGATGAAATCGATCATAGATGAAAATGACCTGTTCATCATTAATTAATCATAGATAGAAAGCTCATGAAGTATTAAAATAAAGTTCAAATATATATATATAAATTATTGCAGGATCATTTTCTAACTTGTTCAAGATGATCTTCGCCCTCTCTAACCTTCTAAATTTTTGGCATGGAGTAACAGGGTGCCTCACAGGGTTCGCGTACGATTTAATTTTCAAGTTTTTTTTCACTGCTATTTGGACTGTCATAACTGAAACTCCTCTCTCTTATGGATTGAGTTGGATCTTTTCTAATTGATCTCTTTATCTCTAAGTTGAATTGATGATCCCTATTCCTGTTGTGACCACCTGATCTAGTTTTCCTCTCTAATTTTCCCACTTTTTAAAACTTATTCACCTTTCGCATGATAGTTCTTAAATGGACTTTGAAGATGGAAGCAACAGGATGAATGTTGGTACCATTACTGAAGACAAGAATGTGTTTTTCCTCTCACTATTGCTCAGTTGAGAAGACAGAAGTGTTGACACAAAACAATTTTAAACTTTTCTCTTGCTAGCTGAATAACTCAAGGAGGTTTTTAGTGATTCTTACGACAAATGCTGTCTAGATGGCTAATGTCTTAACTGAATACATGAAAAAAGAAACTCAATTAGTTTAGTGTTTTTTAGATACTAAATATTGTGTGCGATGGACATTTATGCTGTTACGCGATTTGGACAATCTTGCTGTTACACTGTCAACATATATATATATATATATGCGTGTGTGTGTGTGTGTTATTTATTCAAATGTTATAACATAAATATGTTATAAAAATAGGCATTTTGTTTGAACATCTCCGGTGTTTTATCAAGTGATGATGCTTTTGTTCCTAGCCAGGGTGTATGCGCTCAGGCTCCCTCATTAAACCGAACTTGTGTCACAACCTTACCTCGTGGGGATGAGTAAATACAAATATATAATATATATATATATATATATATATATATATATATATATATATATATATGTGTGTGTGTGTGTGTGTGTGTGTGTGTGTGTGTGTGATAGAATAACGAACAAATACGAAACGTTTATAAAGTTAACAGTTTCGCTTTTACTTAAATTTTATCAGAATTTTGGATAAATGAAAGTTCCGGTACTTTGTGTTCTGTCTTGTTTATTTTTTATTGTTCAGGTAGATCTCAAGTGCTTTTGCCTTGTGGTATTAGCGTGTGCCTGTGTTTGTGGGCGTGTACATCTGGTTTCTAGTGGGCATTTTTTTTGTGTGTCTGTCTGGTAACACCCGTGTCCTTCATGTCTGAACATTACCGACATCACTGACTCCCGCAGGATCAACTAGAAACACGAAACGCACATACAGGCACGCCCTTTCACTGTCTTCCTCTCACTACCATATTCAAGGAATTAAAGACCCGCACACTATCCGAATGACACCCAATGCCCACTAACTAGAATTCGCACGCCTTAATCTCTCTCTCTCTCTCTCTCTCGCACACACACACACACACACATAAGACGCACACGAATACGACAAGGTAAAAACACGTGAGGTCAAATAAAAGATATGTATATATAATTAAGCATAATTCATACAATAATAGATATACAATATTATATTATATTATACAATAACAGATATATTATATATATATATATATATATATATATATATATATTGATTCTCCCGTCGATTTCGACGTATGAGGGTCAATCAGATCAGTTTCCAGGAAACTGACAGCCCGACACCGGCACATGAGATTCGATTATAGTGGTGAAGGCTTCGTGCAGGACCACTTTTTGAAGGGCCAAATACAGCGACCTGGTGCACTACGTGCCACAAGGTCCCCAAACAACACCCCTCAGGTTTTGAATTCAGAGTTGTCCTTCTCCTAGACCAGTTGCCATCCAAGGCTATAGAACCCAGTCTGTCCTGCTATTTTACCCATAGCTGGAGGGAGAAGAAGAGGATTCACACCTTTCCCAAGGGTATTAGCACGTAAGTGAATGTAATGGATTCAACCTGGATTCGAACTATATATATATATATATATATATATATATATATTGAGAATATCATTTGACTAATGAACCAGAACTGAAAGTACCGGAACTTTCGTATCCATAACACATTTCCCCAAAATTCCGATGAAACTCAAATTTGTCCTGAAGCATCTTAAATTTATATATATATATATATATATATATATATATATATATATATATATATATTCGTATTTTATCCACCTCTCCGCACATGGTCAGATTGTGAAACAAGGTCGGTTTAATATGGGGTAGGAGGGGGGTTATGTATGGAAAAAATTGCGCTCTGAAGATGTCAAATTGAAGTTCTTGAAAGTACTTGCTATGTCTCTTCCATCTGACAACAACACGAATATAAGGATCTTATTATTCAAGGAATTGATAGTAAGTTAATGCCTTATTAAATCAAGTTAGGGAAGTGATTTCCCCATGAATTACATTAACATAGCTATTTAATTTTTTGTATAAATTGTTTCTGTATGATATAAAATATAAGCTGCACATTCTAATACACGCCCACACACACACACACACACACACACACACACATATATATATATATATATATATATATATATATATATATATATATATATATATATATATATATATATATATATATAAATAAATATATGTATATATTAAAATAGAGAGAGAAACCGCAAACGTTTTTGCTATTAATGTGGATTTATTTAAATATAAATTATGCTTTTTATTTTCTATAATTTTTCAAAACGTGTTTCGGGTGTCCGCGACCTTCTTCAGGCAAAGAGTGGATATTTCCATATATTATGAAAATCGATCAATTTTCCTTATGTTTTTCGACGTCAAACATTCTGTTATTTGTGTTGTAGTGACATAAATGTCTTTCTTGGACTGGCGGTAAGAAAGTTCTTCTGCTTGAAGGATAATAAAGCAATTAAGATTGGTTCGAGAAAGGGTGAGGAAACATATCTGCATTCTCATGTTTTAATGATATATTATTTATCTTTTAATTATATATTTAAAAAAAAAATAAATAAAAATAAATAAATATGCACTTTTCTCTCGTTGAAACAATTACAACCTTTTCCATATATATATAAGAACAAATGCTAAGAAAGAGAAACAAATTCAACATATTATCAACAAATTGACTGAAAAAAGGTTTCATTTATTTTAATAACTTGGAACTTTTCCTAACTAGTAATGTGTCGAATGTGTTACTCTGTCTCATTACTTTTGAATAACCCTGTCTAGAATTTTGGTAGATACATTAGTTTGATGTTATTTCCAAATTTAACAAAGAACAGAGACAAAAAGAACTAAATACATTAGTGCAATTTCTGTGAAGGAAGGTTGCTAACCCCGACTGTAATTAAGACAAAAAGAACTAAATACAGGAGTGTATTTTCTGAGAGGGACGTTTGCTAAACCTAGCTGAAATTGAGATTAACAAATACTAAATACAGAGGTGTATTTTGTTTGAAGTTCGGTTGCTAATCCCGGCTGTAATTGAGACAAGAAGAACTAAATACAGGAGTGTATTTTCTGAGAAGGGCGGTTAGAACTAAATAAAGGAGAGTATATTCTGTGAAGGACGTTTGGTAACCCTTGATGTAATTAAGACAAAACAGAAAACAAAGTACTGCAGTGTATTTTCTGTCAAGGGCGGTTACTAAACCAGGCTAAAATCTACAATAAAAAAAACTAAATACTGGTGAGGATTTTCTGTGAAGGACGGTTGCTAACTCCAGGTATAATTGTGACTAAAAAAACTAAACACTGGAATGTATCTTTGGTGAAGGATGGTTGCTAACCCTGGTTGAAATTGAGACTAAAAGAACTAAATACAGGAGTGTATATTGTGTGAAAGACGTTTGCTAACCCCGGTTGCAATTGAGAGTAAAAGGAGTAAATACTGGAGTGTATTATCTCAGAAGGACGGTTGGTAACCTGGGTGTAATTGAGACAAAAAATAGAGTGCATTTTCTGTGAAGGCCGGTTGCTAATCCCGGTTGTAATTGAAACTAAAAGAAATAACACTGGAGTGAATTTTCTCTCAAGTATGCTTGGTAACCATGGCTGCAATTGAGACAAAAAAATTAAATACTGGAATGTATTTTCTGTGAAGGAAGGTTGCTAACCCCGGTGTTAATGAGACTAAGAGAACGAAATACTGGAGTGGATTTTCTGTGAAAGACGGTGGATTACCATGGCTGCTATTGAGATTAGAAAGAAATTCTGCTGTGAATTTTCTGTGAAGAACCGTTGCTAATCCTGGCTGAAAGTGAAACTAAGTGAATTAAATACAGGAGTGCAATTTCTTCGAAGAAGGGTTGCTAATACTGACTGAAATTGAGACTAAAAGAACTAAATACAGGTGTGTATATTCTATGGAGGACGGTTGCTAACCCCGGATGAAATTGAGACTAAAAGAACTACATACAGGAGTGCTTTTTCTGTGACTGACGGTTGCCAAACCCGGTTGTTATTGAGACTAAAAGAACTAAATACTGGAGTGTATTTTCTGTGAAGGACGTTTGGTACATCTGGCTGTAAATGAGGCAAAAAAAAACTAAATACTGGCGTCTATGTTCTGTGAAGGACGGTTGCTAACCCTGGCTGAAATTGAGATTAAAAGAACTAAATACAGTGGTGTATTGGCTATGAAGTATGGTTGCTAACTCTGGCTGTAATTGAGACTAAAAGAACTAAATACTGGAGTGTATTTTCTCTTAAGGTTGATTGATAACACTGGCTGTAATTGGGACAAAAAACTAAATACTCGAGTGTATTTTTTGATAAGGACAGTTGCTAACCCAGGATGAAATTAAGAAAAAAAAAAACAACTAAATATTAGTGTGTTTTCTCTGTGAAGGATGTTTGCTAACCCTGACTGTAAATGAGATAAAAAGAACTAAATACTGGAGCGCATTTTTTGCGAATGACGGTTGCTAACCCCGGCAGCAATTGATAGTAAAAGAACAAAACACTCATGTGAATTTTATATGAAGAACGGTTGCTAACCCTGGCTGAAATTGAAACTAAATTATGTAAATACAGGAGTTTAATTTCTGTGGACGACGGTTGCTAACACTGAATACAGTAGAGACTAAAAGAAGTAAATGCAGGAGTGTATTTTCTATGAAGGACTATTGCTATGCCTAGCTGAAATTGAGGGTAAAGAACTAAATACAGGAGTGTATTTTCTGTGAAGGCCGGTTGCTAACCCCGGCTGTAAATGACACAAAGAGAACTAAATACTGGAGTGGATTTTCTGTGAAATACTGTGGATAACCCCGGCTGCAATTGAGAGTAAAAGAACTAAATTCTGGTGTGTATATTCTGTGAAGAACCGTTGATAACTCAGGTTGAAACTGAAACTAAGTGAAGCAAATATAGGAATGTAATTTCTGCGAAGGACGTTTGCTAACTCTGGCTGAAATTGAGACTGAAAGAACTAAATGCAGGACTGCATTTTCTGTGAACGACGGTTGCCAACCCCGGCTGTTATTGAGACTAATACAACTAAATAATGGAGTGTATTTTCTGTGAAGGACGTTTGGTACATCTGGCTGAAAATGAGACAACAAAAACTTAATACTGGAATGTCTTTTCTGTGAAAAATGTTTGCTAACCCCGGTTGTAAATGAGATAAAAAAGAACTAAACACTGGAGTACATTTTCTGTGAATGACGGCTGCTAACCCCGGCAATAATTCATAGTAAAATAACAAAACACGGGTGTTAATTTTCTATAAAGAACGGTTGCTAACCCTGGCTGAAATTGAAACTGAATGAAGTAAATACAGGAGTTTCATTTCTTTGGAGGACGGTTGCTAACACTGGATGAAATAGAGACTAAAAGAACTAAATACAGGTGTGTATTTTCTGTGAAGGACGGTTGCTAACCCCGGCTGTAATTTAGAAAAAAAGCAACTAAATACTTGAGTGAATTTACTCAGAAGGACAGTTGGTAACACTGTCTGTAATTGAGAAAAAAGAACTAAACATTGGAGTGTATTTTCTGTGAAGGACGTTTGGTAACACTGGCTGTAATTGAGACAAAAAACTAAATACCGGAGTGTACTTTCTCTGAAGAGCGTTTGCTACCCCTGCCTGCAAATGAGGCAAAATTAACTAAATGCAGAAGTGTATTTCCTGTGAAGGACGTTTGTTGATACTGGCTGTAATTGAGACAAAAGAATTAAATACATGAGTGTTTTTCTGTGAAGGACGTTTGGTAACCCTGGTTGTAAGTGAGAGAAATAGAACTAAATCCAAGGGTGTATTTTTTTGCGAAGGACTTTTCATAACACTGGCTGTAATTGAGAGTAAAGAACTAAATACTGGTGTGTATATTTTGAGAAGAACGTTTGCTAACCCTGGCTGAAATTGAAACTAAATGAAGCAAATACAGAAGTGCAATTTCTGCGAAGGGCGGTTGTAACACTGGCTGAAATTGATACTAAATGAACTAAATACAGGTGTGTATTTTCTATGAAGTACTGTTGATAACCCTGGCTGAAATTGAAACTAAAAGAACTAAATATCGCAGTGTATTTTCTGTGAAGAACGGTTGCTAACACCGGCTGTAATATAGACAAAAAGAACTAAATACAGGTGTGTATTTTCTGTGGAGTACGTTTGGTATCCCTGTCTGTAATTGAGACAAAAATGGAGTGCATTTTCTTTAAAGGTCGGTTGCTAACCCTGGCTGTAATTGAGACAACACGAAATTAAATACTGGAGTGTATTTTCTGTAAAGGAAGTTTGCTTACCCCGGCTGTAAATGAGACAAAAAGATCTAAATACAAGAGCGTATTTTCCGCGAAGAACATTTGATAACCCTGGTTGTAACTAAGACAAAAAAAACCTTAATACTGGAGTGTATTTTCAGTGAAGGATGTTTTGTTAACCCTGACTGTAGTTGCGACAAAAAGAACTGTTATGATGTTAATTGGGGGTTAATAAAGACAAACGCCAAATAACATGTAACAATAAAATGGGGTTTATTCGGTTGGTAAGTTGGTACAGATATCGCCTGAGTAGTCTATAACTAACTCAGCTCAGAACTTCTTCAACACTGTCTTTTGACATGCCACTATTTAACGTCCTTGTTTGTAGACGAGTTCATCTTCAAGAGGGGTGGTAGGTTCCTACACAACAAGAACCAATTACAGGGGCGTATTTTCTGTGAAGGACGGTTGGTAACCCTGGTTGTAATTGGGACCTAAAGAAATAAATACAGGAGTGTATTTCCTGCGAAGGACGTTTTGTAACCCTGGCTGTAATTGAGGCAAAAAGAACTAAATGCAAGAGTGTATTTTCTGTAAATGTCGTTTGATAACCCTTGCTCTAATTGAGACAAGAACTAAATAAAGGTATGTATTGTCTGCGAAGGACGTTTGGTAACACTGGTTGTAATTGATACAAAAAGAACTAAATACAGGAGTATGTTTTCTGTGAAAATCTTTTGGTAACCCTAGCTGCAATTGAGACAAAAACAACTAAATACAGGATTGTATTTGATGTGAAGGATAGTTGGTAAACCTCGCTGTAATTGAAACAAAAACACTAAACACTGGAATGTGTTTTCCGTGAAGGACGTTTGGTAACACTGGCTGTAACTGAGACCAAAAGAACTAAATACAAGATTGTATTTTCTGTGAAGGACTTGAGTTGAAAGTACATATTTCAATTAGTTATGATTGTTCGAGCGCTTTCGGCTACTTCTCTATCCATTGCTATGATAATGGCTATCGAACAAGACGAAGCTGTCGGAACAATTTTAACTATGGACAATGTCTTTATTCTTTAACTGCTGAAAAACGGAAAATGTCAGATTGCTGGAAAAACTCAATTATAGATTAATGAAATCTTCTTCTTCGGTCTTTTTCAATGAACGATGCACGAAAGAATGCTTTCGAAACCTTATCCATTACACATCCAAGCTTACAGCGCCTGTTTTTCCCTAGCGGTCACCCATCGAGGTACTGACCAGGCTCGGCGTTGCTTAACTTCAGCGATTATACGGGCACCGGTGTTTCAACGAGGTACGGCCGTGATACTTCAGCCATCCTGGATTGGGCAATCATATCTCTTTTGATTCATGACTGTCGATGCAGAAGATTTTCCCGGAGTAGGCTGCCGTTTGTTTATTTTGTAGACTGGCTGCCCACCAAGGCTATAGGACCCCCCCCTTTTTTTGCTATTTAACCCATAGCTGGGGGAGAAGAGGTGGAGTCATAACATTCTCATCGGCATTTGCGCGTAAGTAAATGCAACTAAGCGAACTGGAATTCGAACTCGGTTCTCCGACGTCTCAGTTCCGAGCCGTCATCCACGAGGAAATGATAATTGACATTAAAAAGGAATTCCGCCGAAATAAATTTCAGGAGCATTTATATTGTCATATATATATATATATATATATATATATATATATATATATATATATATAATAAAAAAGGCTTAAATATAATATATATATATATATATATATATATATATATATATATATATATATATATATATATATATATATATATATATATATATATATATATATATATAAAAAAATTTACTAAAACTAATATTAGTGTTTAAGCCTTTTTATTATATCCTTACTCTGTCCTAGACATTGAGTTCTACCTGGATTCTTCCTCTTGAATTTTTTATTCTAAAATATACATGTATGGGTATTTATATATTTTGCATATGTATGTATATTTTCCACTAATATTATCAATATATATATATATATATATATATATATATATATATATATATATATATATATATATATATATAATACATAAAGGTTTAATGGTCAGAGTTGAATCAAACCACGAAAAAAAGTGCTCGATTTTTTTAACAAATGACCACCTAATGCTTTTTTAAAAAAAAAAAAAAAAAAAATTAAAAACGCAACATTATTATTTAAGAAGAAGAAGAAGAAAGAAAGAAAGAAAGAAAGAAAGAAAGAAAGAAAGAAAGTGTATTTTTATCGTGTATTTATTTATTTTTTAAAATAAAATGTAGCGTGCTTTATCTTTTAAAAAAAATTAAATAGCGTTAGGTTGTCATTTGATAAAAATTGTCTGAGGATATAAAAGCAAGGTAGCGGATTTTTTAAAGTATATACATATATATATATATATATATATATATATATATATATATATATATATATATATATATATATATATATATATATAATGTGTGTACTGGGGCAGCAGATCATTATATAAACATATATTGTTAAAGGTAACAGACAATGAATGTCTATTATATTTGATCATGAGCTTGTCTAAACTTCGTATATTTGCTTTAATTTCGGGTGAAATTAAAGAAAAAAATTGTCCAACTTTGGATATTTTTTTATTAAGCTCTTCCTTGATCTAAGCTTTCGACTCACGTGAGCATCATTTCGAAATTAAAGCAACCATACGAAGTTTAGAACGACACATGACCAAACATAATAGACATTCTTTGTCTGTCATATTTACCAATATATATATATATATATATATATATATAATACAGGGAAATTTTAGATCAAAATAAAAATAATAATTGCGTTAAGCTATGGAGTTATTGATCCATACTTGTGAATGGGTTTAATTGTAGGAAGGCGCTGAAATTTAATAAAAAAGATATTTCACAAAATCTTATATTTCAACATCATTAATGGAGAAGCACTTCTCCCAATGATAAAACATTATACAGTTTGAATTTATGATCAAAATTCAATTCATAATAACGTCTAGCCACGGACTCATGTATGTGTGTGTTTAGAGACATATATGACGATATATTTTTATTAATGAAAAATTTATTTTTAATGGATACCTGCATTTTAGTAATTGCTCTAATTTTCTCTTTAAATGTTTATTTCGTCTTCCGAGGCCAGTAGATGAAATAAATAGTGTCAAAAAAAAAAAAAAAAAGAAGTCTACTCAAATACGGGTAACCACTAAAACAACGTTTGAACTTTGAACTTTCATAATAATATAAAAAAATAGCTCGAATTAAAAAATAAAATTCCATCAATTCTTTACAAATGAATATATATATATATGTGTGTGTGTGTGAGTGCACAGTTGTGCATGCGCACGCGCATGTGTTCGTGCGCGTATGTATGTGTTTATGAATATTTATATAGATAGATATTGTGTGTGTGTGCGTGTTCGTGTGTGTGTGCCAGAGTGCGCAAGATTAAGGCCGGCTGGTTAAAAGTGTCTTTACACGCAGACCAGTGCAGAGAAAGTTGCACAGGCATTTATATATGGACGATTTTTCGTTTTCTTTAAAATGTCATCGTGACCGAGAGTTCATCAAGTACATTATAGAAAAAAGGGAAGGACACAATTATTTCCAACTATCACTTGTTTTCAAAAAAAAAAATTATTATTATTAAAAGATAAATATATATTTACATACGCAAACACACAGATACACATTTTCATTTAGTGTGTCTATTAATAATATCCATAATGTGTAGTCGATATGTTTATGAACGTATTTATGTGTGCTAGATAAGTAATAAAAATCTGCTTATATCTGCTGGAGACGAAATACGAAGTAAATGCAAGAGGTTCGGTCAGAATTTGAACACAAGCTGTCCATTTTCATTTTCATCGCCGATAGCCGTCACGTCACCCGCACACGTGGAGAATTCATTGTCATCTATGTCAAAATTTTAAAGCACTTTCTTTGAATGTTAAAAGGTACTTCCTTAGAAAATTTTTAAATAACATTAGAACAAAATATGCAACATAAACATAGCTAGCTAGCTAACTAGATAAATAGATAGAAAGAAACAGACACACATATATATATATATATATATATATATATATATATATATATATATATATATATGATAAAAATACAGTTTTACAATATACTGTATTTATGGGTTAAAGTGTTCAATATCAAAGATAGACCATTCAGGCATGAAGGCATGAAACAGACTGTCACCGCTAGGTGTCGATAATAAAAAAAAAAATAAATCTCCATAGACACGTAAACCAGACGAGGCGAAAACATCTTCCGTTTAAAATTTAGACACCCCCACCTTACCTTGACTTGACATATATGAAAGTAACTCTATACTGATATTTATTATTAACACCCAACACACGCCTACCCAATTTAAACAATTCGCCCTAGCTGTTACCATGGAAATTTTGATTTCAATTATGAATATACTATTAAAACACGTAAATTTCAGAAATAAGTTATTCAAAAAAAAATTTCGCTTGAAGATGGAACAGAGCTTACTTTAATTCAATTTAATTCAAATAATTTATTGAAGTTTTCGGCTCTTGTTTTGAAATATGAGACCTCTTATGTCGCGAGTTGGAATCATATTTTTAAATTAATAATTATATATATATATATATATATATATATATATATATGTACTTCTACATAATCACTAAAAGATTACCATACTATGATGAAAAAATGCTCCAAACCTAATGAAAACACATTTTTATCATTGATATCTTTATGTTACTATTAAGAAGAAAGATCAAAATATATTTTTTTTTAATATTTAATTAAATTTTTAAATCTTTTTTAGAATAGTTGAAATTTTTATTAACTATCTTGTTTTTCCCGCATCAGCGGGTTTATTATAAATTAGCATAGTAAATTTTGGTATTTTTTTGCGGTGAAAGACACATTAATTTGGAAATTCTTGCAAAAATCAAATGAATGTTGGATTTTAATTAAATTTTTAGGGCTTATTCACAAATTATAGAATTGTTTCACAGAAATATATTTTCTTTCATAAAATCTGGTTATTTTATTTATTTGTTTTGTTTTTACACGTGCCACACCCCAACTAATTTAAACAAAATCTCAACAAATTTAGCGTGATTTCAAAGAAAATCTACGGTGGCACATAAATGGCTCTTTCAGAAAATAAGACGGATAACTAGTAAATTTAAAACCAAATTCTCTAAAAGTCAATAAAACATTAGATTACGGAGAATAGTTTCTGAAATTTGTAAGATCACCGAGTACTTAAAAGGCAGTCGCGTTTTATTCCTCAGTTTTTTTGTTTTTTTTGTTTTGTTTTTTGTTGTTTTTTTTGGGGGGGGGGTAGTTTAAAGCCCCCCATAGAACAACATTAGATAAATATCTATCATCGGGCTGTGAAGCAGCTGTGAAAAAGCTGTCAACATAAATAAACAAACTACAATCGTGTTAAAAAAATGCATTTCTGTTATCTTTTAAATATAAATAAATAATATTTGTTTCAAATCAGATTAATTAGACTTCAAATCGGCTAATATTCTTCAAATAAAGTTTCAGAAAAGTATATTTCACTTTTGGATGATTTATTTAATAAAGAGATTTATAGTTTTTTCTAGCAGTTTACTAAAAAATTCAAAGATTTTAGAAATTTCAAACCAGGAACTCATTCCAATCAATTTAAATTACTTTTGAAACACAGCATAGCATTTTATTTCTTAGAAATATGAAATTTAATCTCTCAGCTTGAAATTAAAAGTAAAATAAAAGCTTCAAGAGAGATTTTTCCTTATTAAAAATTCATTAAATGTTACATTTTTGTGGAGGTATATATATATATATATATATATATATATATATATATATATATATATATATATATATATATATAGTGTAACCTGGATATAAGGGAGTTGTCGGGACCGGAGAAGAAGTCTCTTACATCCGGGTTTGGTCTATTTTATATACATTAACACAGGCTCTAATTTGGGACCAGATAAAAATCTCTCTTATATCCGGGTTACACTATATATATATGTGTGTGTGTGTGTGTGTGTGTGTGTGTGTGTGTGTGTGTGTGTGAAATGGATTATGTCCGAAAATTATTTAATGTGTTTTTTGTTATTTTATAGATATAATTTATTTAAGTAAGTCGTCTGTTTTTAATTAAACAGTATTGATTACATTTACCGGACTGCATTTTCAAGGAAATTCGTAGAAAATATGCGTTCTCCAAAAGAATAGTTATATAGGCTGGCGTGTCGTTACCACTTAGCTATAAAGAATCATCTGGTTA